CAAGCCCAGAAAATATAGGAAAATATGAGGAATCTTGTTATTTGTGTGTATGTAATTGTGTGTCCCAGGGCCCATTCGCCGTTCCCCTTCCCCCCCCCTTCCGCCAAACTCAGAGATCCGATGTCGTGATTTTTACAGTACGCGGTCTCCGGAAGCCTCGACCCATCCCCCCGGACCGGTGTTTCCTCCTGAGCCATTTCTGGGACGCTCCCGAGGCCCGGCGAGGGCCCCTGGGGGCCGAAGTCTGGGAAAAGCCTGCGTCTTGATGTTTTTGCCCATGCGCTGGATCTCTGGGAATGCCGACACGCCGAGGAAGACAGCGCTCGCCGCCGGGCCTCGGGCCGGCAGGGCCCTCTCTCCGCCGCACGGGGCCGCGCGTGGCTCGCGCGCCAGGGCGGCGGGGGGGGTCTGTGTGTACGGGGCGTGCCCCGGAGGGGCTCCGCCCGCAGAGGTGCCCCGGGGCCGCGGACGTGCTGCAGCGGCTGGAGGAGCGCCCGAGTCTAGGCCTCCTAGATTCACCACCTGCCAGACCACCTTGGGCGCCGCGTAATGGGGGGGTCATAAATGGGGGGGTGTCGCGGGTGGTCCGAAAAGGTACCCAAACGGTACCTAAACGAGCCCCCTGGGGCTCCGGAGGGGCCCGAAAGGGGCACGAAAGGGGACCTTTTCTGACCCCCCCATTTGTGGCCCCCCCATTAAGCCACGCCCAACCACCCCAGCCCAACCCGAAGGCCTCAATTTGCCCTCCCTTTCCAGTTGGGGGGGGGGAGTCGGGGAGCGTTGAAAAAACACATGGAGCCCGTACCCCCCCCCACCCGAAATTCGGGTCAAATTCGGGTCTTCGGGTTAGGTTGGGGTGGTCTGGTAGATAGTCATAGATGGGGTCGGAGCAGATCGGGTCGGAGAATTGCGCCGCATCGCCGATGCATCGCCAACGCGGCTCGATGTGCAGCCCGATCTACCGGCGATGCACCGGCGATGCGGCGCGATCTTCGGACCCCATGTACTCCGACCCCATTTAGGAGGCCTCTAGAGGAGCGCCCGAGGGGGGCAGGGATCCTCGAGCGCAAAGGTCAGAAGAGGAAAAGGTCCCCATACCTCTACCCTTCGGCCGTTTTCCCCTTTGTGGGCCTCCTCGAAGGATCTCGTGGCCACTGCTGGATTCGCCTCGAAATTCGGGCCAGAACGCACCCCAGGAGAGCTCCGGGGAGTAGCGGTATCGGTACCTTTTGCTCTCCCCAAAGGGAACCCCAAACCCTAATAACACGATGAAGACTCCGCCTCACCGAAATCCCCGTCTTGGCGTCAGGGACAATAATTCTGGGCGGTTTGATCTGACGCATCCGCAGAAAAGACCCCCTGCCCCTCATGCTTTCGACCCTCTTAACTCAGGTCCCGTCCCAAAGGGGAAGGATTTGTTTTGGTGATTCGTAGGAGGACCAAACCACGGAGTGGGCCGCGCTGGCCTTCGCCTTCCCCTGCATGCTCCGCGCGCGGGGATCGAAAGCTGGGCGAGGGCTGCTAAAACCGTGGCTGCCAAAACGGCCCTCCCGGAAGGAAAAAACAGTTTGGCGGAATGAGGCGCGGCACGCGAAACAGTCCACGGGCTTTTTCCCGGAAGGACGAAGACAACTTCCTGGAGGTCGATTTTACCCGGAAGGACGAAGACAATTTCCCAGAGGTCGATCGGCAGCCACGGATTCGGCAGCCCTTGCCCGGCTTCCGAGGGGAGCGCGCGACCGCGGGCGCCGGCGCCGCGGCGAGCGAGTGGAGCAGCGCGCCGGGGCGGGCGCGCAGGCCAGGGAGCTCGGCGTGGCCCGGGGGGCCGCTTCGGGGGCGACGGCGAAGCGCTTTTGCGCGCGCGAGGGTCAGATGCGGACTTTGCTTGCCTCGCTGCGCAGCGGCGCGCGCAGCTCCCCAAAGCGCCGGACGGATCGGCGCCTTCCCGGGCGCCCGCGGATGCGCGGGGCGTTTGCTGTCCGCTCGTCAAAAAGCAGTATGCGGCGGCAGCCGTCCTCCCGCGGCCGCTCCCGTGGGGGACTTCGCGCGGGAGGGGCAGCGCGCCCCCCGGGGCGGGGGGGCGCCCCCCAGGGCACCCGCCGCGCCGCGCCTGGCCGGGCCGGCTCTGGAGCTCCGGTTTCGGCGGGTCGTTCCGCTGGTTCTGGAGCAGTGGCGAAGCGTCCTGGCTTGCCTATAGCCCCACGAGACAATGTTCTAAGAGCCTTTTGCGGTGTCCACGAAAGGCCATTGGAACATTTATGGTTGATACTGTTTTGTTTTAACACATCGGGTTTATGTTATAAAAGCATTGTTTCTTTCGTTCTTAGAACATTTTTAGGTTCTAAGAACATTCCGTGGTAGGACTATAGGCATGCCGGGACGGTCGGTCCCTGCTCAAGCATGGGCGCGTTCAGGAACGCGTGCACCACTGGCCAGCGGATCGACCATGTCAGCGCGCCGACCCACCTGCAGCGCCAGGGCATCATGAGAAGCGCCAGCCCCTATTCAGGACGCGCTGGGCCAAGGTGCTGCCCGCGGAGGTCGAGGATCCAGGAGCTCTTTTCCCTGGCCGCAAGCGCCCGCGGAGTTGGCCCGGAGCGCATGGGCAGCCACGGCCTCAGGTTCGCTGCGCAAGCCGGGAGCGGACATTGAGACCATCAGCAGGGTGGGAAGGTGGAGCAGCAACGCGATGCACGCCTACTTGTGGGACACCCGCGACAGGCAGGCTGCCTCTCGCGAGAGGCAAGCTGCCTACCGAACTGCAGGGGCATGCGTGGGCAGTTCTTCCGATCAAAAGGTTGCCTGGGCATCTTCTCACTTCTGCAAATCAGCGCGCAAGCGCCGCTTCGCCACCCGCTCGTCGCCACGGCCGTGGCAGGTTCTTGTCGGCGCGACCCAAGGCGCAGACTGTTTGCTTTCGACAGCGGCGGTCTGCGGGATCCGGCGTTGGGCGGGCGGCGCGAGCAGGGGGGGCGTTAACTTCTACATCCCACGAGTCACGGCCCTACCAGAGTTAAGTCGGGCACGCCCCTCTACAGGAGGAATATCAAGAAATAATTTAAAACATATTACGGGGACGATTTGTTTGAGCATTTGTTGATCATTTGTGGATTTTTTTTGGGTATGTTTAATTTTTTCGTCGAAAATCCCCCTGTATGGGGGACACGCCCGACTTCATACCAGAGGCAACGCGGCAGGGTGGAGCGGATGATCAAGAAAGGCGGCGTGCTGATTGATGCAGGGCCCATCCCAGAGGGCTCTGGAAGCACGCGAGCGCCACGCACGACACGAGGCGGAGGAGGCGCTTGAAGCGCCTGGAGGCGGGCGCGCATCCGGCTGCCAGGGCAGGTTGCGCGTGCGCGAAGAGCGTTTCCTCCCGGCTGCTGACGACGGCCGCGAGAGCAGAGGACCAGTCTTAAGTCGGGCCATGCCCTTTGACAGGAGAATTATTCAAAAGTAGTGGAAAAATAGTCTGGGGACGATGTTCTGTCTATTTGTGATTATGTTTGAATAGTTGCGATTATTTTCAAGGTTTCTTCCAAAATCCGCCTGTAGGAGGACATGCCCGACCGACCTAGGGCCAGCCCAGCGATGCTGGCGGCGCCAGAACCCAGAGCCCAGTAGCGAGCGCAGCCCACGCGAACCAGAGCGCAACGCAGCAGATCCGAGGATTGCGGCGGGGGGGGGTCAGTTGAGAGGGCGGCGGCGTCGTGGCTCGACAGACGGGAGGCAGCATGCGCCCAAACTGATTCCTCCATATCTTAGACTGTTGCAGGCACTTCGCGCTTGCCTGTCCTGAGATTCAGGGCAGGCAAGCGCGAAGCCGCACTGTGCGAGTTCCGCATCGCAGGTTTGAGCACAATCGTGGTTTCGAGCTCGGGGATGCGGGTAGACAGGGGGATGCTGCACTGCCCTGCAGCCTTTTTCCCTTGAGGGCTCGTCCCGCCCGCCCCAATCCCGAACACGACGTCTGTGTCACCCGTGGCGGTGGTGTCGTTGTTCGACAGACGGAAGGCAGCATGCGCCCAAGAAGTCACGTTCGACATCCGAGTCGATTCTAGGCCCTTCGCGCTTGATTGCCCCGAGCTGCGTCGTCGCGCTGGCCGCACTGTGCGAGCTCTACCCAAACATGTTGTGCAATGTTGTGAGATTGTTGCAATTGTTTCCGCCCCGTTCTGTCTCCCGCCCGCGTGCGCCCAGTTCGCCCAGTATCGCCCCTGGTTGAAGTATGGGCGCGGTGCGCGATCACCGTCGCTGCAGCCAAAAAAGTGTGTTGTAGTGCTTGGTGCGCGGCAGAGAAATATTGCTTTCCCGAAGCGAAGCCGCCTGGTGTTGCAGCCGCACTGCACCCGAACCTGAATCCGATGTCCATCCTCTTCCTGGTGTTCCTCCTCGCCTTTCTCTCCTTTCATTTCCGCTCTCCCCCTCCCGCCCCCTCGCCCCCCGAGGGTGGATCGTTCAAGCGAAAAGACGCTCGTTCGAGCGAAAAGGTAATCCGTTCAAGCGAAAACCAACCGAGCGAAAACCAATCCAGAGCAGCAGAGAGCAGTAGAGAGCAGGACCCTCTCGCCCCCCCCTTCCGCAGCGATGCCCCCCTTTCGTTCCGGGGGCAGGGCCCTGCTTTCGGGATCCGGCGAGCGGACCCTGCCTCGGGGCCTTGCGAGGACCTTGCCGCGCCCCTCGCAAAGGAACCTGCTGCTCCTCCTCCTCCTCCTCCTCCTCCTCCTCCTCCTCCTCCTCCTCCTCCTCCTCCTCTCCTCCTCCTCCTCCTCCTCCTCCTCCTGCTCCTCCTCCTGCTCCTGCTCCTCCTCCTCCTCCTCCTCCTCCTCCTCCTCCTCCTCCTCCTCCTCCTCCTCCTCCTCCTCCTCCTCCCGAGACACCAGGGGACCCTCGAGCACGACCCCCCACCCCCCAGAAACGCGCGGATTCGCTGCGGGGGGCACGGTCGCCAATCTATGGGCGATGGATCGCCGACCCCCGCTGCTGGTCCGGGGACCCAGGCGAGTGGGAGTGGCGGTTCAAGTGCAACCCGCGCGGTTTCGCGGACGAGCTGATGAGCGGCAGCGAGGCCGCCATCCGCGAGCTGTACGCATCTTCCGAGGCCTCCACCAGTGGACGGGAGGAGGGGGGGCGCGGATGAGGTGGAGGAGGAGGAGAGAAGGCGTGACGGTACGGGCACACACGCGCGCCCTCCAGCTTCCCCCAGAAAAAACGAACAAACGGGAGACGACGACTATTGCGAGGACGAGCAGCAGGAGAGAGAGAGAGAGAGAGACAGACAGACAGACAGACAGAGAGCGAGAGAGAGAGAGAGAAATCGAAAAAAGGAAGAGAGACAGAAAGAGAGAGAGAGAGAGAGACAGCGAGAAAGAGAGATAAACACATATAAAGAAACAAAGAAAGAGAGAGAGAGAGAGAGAACAACAAAAGTATAGATACGTATGTACATGTACAGAAAGAGAGAGAGAGAGAGAGAGAGAGAGCGAGGGGCGTGGAGGCAGAGGTACGGCACGGTAAGGCCAAAGAGGTATCGCAAGCTGTGATCGCGAAGTTTGTGCGTATCCTGCCTGGCTCGGGAAAGTGGCTGCAACCGATCACGGCCACGATCACCAGGCCCCCACGTGGAAACAAACTTACATAAGAGAGAAGCCCCAACCAGTTGATTCCCGGAGCGTTTCGCATGCGCTCCACGTCTGCCCGCTCTTTCTCTCACTCGTTCTCTTTCTCGTTCTGGAATATGTGTAGCACCCCGCAGTTGCGAATAAGAGTAAGGGGGCGGGTGCGGGGTGGGTCGCGGGTGCGTCGCGGGTGGATCGCGGGTGGATCGCGGGTGGGTCGCGGGTGGGTCGCGGGTGGGTCACGGGTGGGTCGCGGGTGGGTCGCGGGGTGGTGGGTCGCGGGCGGGTTGCGGGTGGATCTCGGGTCGTGCCTTGATTGTGGGACGACGACAACAACAAATAACAAGCAACAACAACAATAATGATAATAATATTCATTCCCCTAAGAAGAAAATAGCCACAACAGCAACAACAACAACACCAATAAGAACACCAACAACAATACTAGCACTACGAAACACCATACCAAAATGAGTAATAAGATGACAAGAAGAAGAACAGCAATAATAGCAGCAACAACAACAAAAGCAACACGAACAACCACAACCACAACAACAGCAATAGCAACAACAACGCAACAACAATCCGCACCGCGAAACCCCACTTTTGCCACGCACCCAGGGACAGTCAATGACAGTTCGGCCCCCTAACCCTGATCTTTATTTAAATACACATTTGTACGTACAGCTTCTGCTTAGCAGGTACGCCCTTACACCTCGCTCGGCACTCTACTGTCGCACACCGGACCTAAACTTCATGTGTATATAAGCGTACGCGTATGCAATTGCATTTGTGCATACATAAGCATAAGCACGTATCAGTATACATATGTGGTCTCTCGCTCCACCTCTTTTTATCTGCACAACTTCAACATATGCTCTACGGCATGTACTTTTCATCCATACTATATACCCTGTCATGCTGACAGTCCCATCCATCTTTCAAGGTTATGTAGACAAATTTGTCTCGAAGATCTTCGTTATTCAAATATGTTGTTTTTTTCTCGTTCTCTACTCCGTCTCTCCGTCTTTATTTTCATATGCATACATTGTTGTTTATACCACGATTGTTATTTATACCATCGAGAATATATCCTCTCTGCTGAACTATGGTTTCTGCTCTCTGATATGTTTCTCTACGTTCTACACCGTACACTCATTCTGACCCTGCTCGCGAACGCCTGGTAAATGATTGGGAACCTAAGAACCACATTGTATTGTGAATTTTGGGCCCAGAGTTGACGCCCAAAAGACCAGCCGCCCACCAAAACCGGATGGAACCCAACAGCGCGAACCTTAGAACCTGGCAGCCCAAAGAAATCGGGCCCGCCATTTTCGCTTTTTGTTTCGGTATCCAGTAGGAGCTCTTCAGTGCACGCACTGATTGGGGAACTACTCTCTGTTCTCAGTTCCGCTGTCTATTTGTACTACTCTCTACTCTGTTTCTCGCTGTCTGTGTGTGCACGTGTGTATGTACATACATGTAGGGAGACATCCGATTATCTAAGGTGTATTGCTCTCTATATCTCCATTTTCTCTGTGCATATATATATACATATATATATATGTATACACACATATACATACATAGTCAACTCGTCATGCGCTGTGTTGGTGTGTAAATGTATACACGCGTACATACATATTTACAAACATTCACATGGTGCACATATATGTACACATTCATTTATTCGTATGAGTACATCAATTTCATATGGTAGGTTATATCATACTAACCCCAATTCTCTACTATCCAATATGTACTCTTCACGTTGTATATTCTATTGTATCGCCCTGCCCGTAGAAGGACCTGACCACATGGCCGCAACCATGACTTCGAAAACCCAGAGGCCCCGGAACACATATTGGGACCGCCCACCGAAATCGGCCCAGAGCTTGGACCCTTGGAGCACGGAACCAGTAATTTGGGATCCCGGCCGCCCACCGAAATTGTGGCCGCGCATTCGCTGATTTTTTCAAGATCCGATTGGACGCCTTCAGTGCAAGCATTGATTGGGGAATGTGCTTCAACAGCAAGTAGAGCAAGTAGAAACAAGACGATGTACATGATTTAGGTCGAACACACAACACGGACACGGAGGCCGCAAAGTGGCGATGGCGGGACGTAGGCTTGCAGGCCCCAACGACCTGCGCCCGCCCGCACAGGGGCCGTGCAGCTGGTGGGAGGCGGCCGTGGCCCCGTGGGGTCCAGCCTGCCGGTTGCGATACCGTCGTTTGCGAAAGACGCGCCGAATTCAGGTGTCGGCGACAAGACGACAAAGCTCGCCCCCCCTTTCCCCCCGTATCTCAAGGTTGACGAGGAAACCGCGCCCCCACGCAGAAGTGGGCGTTTGTTTCGCAACACGTCGCGCTCCTGTTTGGCACATTCGTTGGCCAACACTGAGATACGGGGCCTGGGGGCGGGGCGCTCTGTCCTTCTAGGAGTGGGCGTTTATGTTGCAAACGGCGGTATCAGTCAAACGTGTCCGACTTGGTTCAAGCCGCCGATCCGCAGAAATACCGCCACACGGCCGCAGGCGCTGCGGGGAATCGCGATGAGGACCGCTGGTCTAACCCTGCCCCCCCTGGCTGCTTGCGGCAGGCCCCCACTTTGCCAGTGCAGCAGCGCAGCGTGAAGGAGATTGAGTCAAAGACCTGCCGCAATCCAGCGTGCGATCTCAGCTCGCGTGGGTCCTCAACTCGACCTCGTTCCCTCCACAGCGGGGGGCATCTGTGTGGGTTCTGGGAGCCTCCTGGAGGGCCTCTTTGGGGCCTGCTCCTCCTCTTCCTCCTCCTCCTCCTCCTCCTCCCTCCTCCTCCTCCTCCTCCTCCTCCTCCTCCTCCTCCTCCTCCTCCTCCTCCTCCTCCTCCTCCTCCTCCTCCTCCTCCTCCTCCTCCTCCTCCTCCTCCTCCTCCTCTGGCCCGTCCGACGCATTCAGAGGTCGTCTTGGCGGCCTAATTATCTGGTCCTGGGGTCCTCTTGGGCCTCCCTCGGTCCGTCATGGGGATCTCTGGGGCAGTCCCGGGGTTACTTTGGGGCATCTAGGGGGCCTATGGGGCCTTGGGGCCGATCTGGCTGGACCTCTGGAGCGCCAGCCAGTCAACGGTGCACGGTCGGACCGAGGTATAAGATGGAGGTCGGCTCGGGAGGATACCCAAATGTTCGTCGTGTTTGTTTGGTTTTTTTGTGCATCCTGGGGGAGGGTACCCTGGAATGTTCTTCACGTTGGCCGGCGGAAAGTCTCATCTTATTGAAGGTTGTTCTTGCGTCCTAGGTCTGGCCATACAGACTGTTCCCCCCCCCGCTCCTCAGTTCTCCACGGGGGAAGGGGACGGGGGAAAGCAGGATCAGCGTCAAAAGAAGAAGACGAAGAAAGGAACGAAGAGGAGGAGGAGGAGGAGGAAGAGGAGGAGCCGGCGGTGGTGGTGGAGGAGGAGGAGATGGACTCAGGCGTGCCATTTGGGGCAGCTCTGCCAGAGCACTGGCTGGGAAAGCATCTCCCTGGGGCCCTCTCTCTTCTGCCTTTCATCCCGCCTGGGTTGATGTGCCCGTCCAGACAGCACCTTCCTCCTGCTCCCCTACCCCTTCGGCCTCCTAGGTGACGAACGTCCCTGCCTCTCTCGGCCCCCTTGCCTCCTCCGCCGGCATCCCCCCTCATCATGCGTTCTCCTCCTGCTCTCCCTTCTCATCCTCTTGGCGCTCATCCTCTTCTCGGAAACTGGAACGTATACATTGCCAGTGGCGGGCCGTTTTTCAATTCAGGGTTGGGGACGACGTCGGCGGGGGTGGTGTGGCGTATATTTTTCCACGTTTTCCCAGAGAAACAGTGAAACATGTATACACCAGGGTTCCGTAAACACCAGGATCCGCTTTCCTGGCTGTAAATTTCAGTACAGGGCTGGAAAAAACGTCGGTGTATAGAGTTCGTTTCCCTATCTTCCTCTCCCCCCGCCTCATGCTCCCCGCCGTCCTCGCTGGGCAGATATCGACAGACGGGTGGCGTGGAAGCGGCCGTCCTGCCGTGACGCGACGGGCTCGCTGCCGTCTCGCAGTGCGGTGTCGACGGTCTGGCGTGCCCGTGCAGAGGTTCTGGGTCGAGTGCTGCTAGAAGTGCCCTTGGCCCAAGGTCCCGGGGGCACCTCGGGCCAGGGGCATTCCTCCTCCTCCTCCTCCTCCTCCTCCTCCTCCTCCTCCTCCTCCTCCTCATCCCTCCTCCTCCTCCCTAATCTCCTCCTCCTCCTCCTCCTCCCTCTCTCTCTTCCACCTCCTCCTCCTCCTCCTCCTCCTCCTCCTCCTCCTCCTCCTCCTTTAGCAGCCCCCGACTGGGCGGACTGCTTGGCAAGAGAAGCTGGCCACGGCACGGGTTCCGACCGCCCCCTTGGGGAGAGGCGGCGCCTCGGATCTCTGCTGCGTGCTGCGGGCAAGTGGTGTTGGCCTCGCCGCCGAGCCATCGCCTCGCTACGGCAGGTTCGCGAAGCGCCGGCCGGCAGCGACCCCAGCGCGTGCGTTTCAGGTTGAACGCCGCCCGTGGCCCAGAATCGGCCCCTCGTTGAACGATCCGGCGTTCACGGAACGGTCGATCGTTCAAGTCTGAACGATCCCCGCAGTGTCAGGAACCAGCGCCAGGCTCGACGCGACGCCGACGCGAGCCTGCAGTACACGGTCATACCTGGTCACTCCCCGCGCCTTGCGTCGGGAAAGCCAGCCGCGTGGAGCTGATGCGTCGACTCCGGTTCGAGCTATGCCTCTTTTTTCGTCCGCTCTTCCTCCCCTTCTCCTGCTCATCCTCCCCATACCTCCAGCGTCCAGAGCAGACGGGGCTGCCAAGTTGTCCGAGATGTCGGCCAGCCTGGGCCCCCACGGAGCTCCAGCACAGCAGCCCATGGCGCGGAGGCCACGCGAGGGGCGAGGCCGAGAGCTCCAGAAGGCCACGCAATGAGAGATACGGTCGGATCATGCGAGCAGCTCGATCGAGCTGCGAGTGAGGGCAGCCTTTCGTCAGGTGCCGAGTCGAGCGACCCCCCCTCGTGGTTGTCGCCCTCCTCTGGGTCACGAGCACCTCTCCTCCTCCTCCTCCTCCTCCTCTGAGCCACAGGCGCTCCTCCTCCACCTCCTCCTCCTCCTCCTCCTCCTTCGCTCATGGCACGCAGGCGCCCCCTGGACCCGAAGAAGCCGCCCTGGCGGCGATGGTCCGCGCCTGCGGCAGCGCCCGGTCCTTCGGCTCCTCCACCGCGCTGGTGGCGTCCCTCGACGGCGCGAAGGCAGGGCCCGCGTCGACCCGACTCGGTATCGATGCCGGCCGGCCCGATTCGATTCGGTTCTTGTACCGCGGCGAGCGAGGGGGGGAAGTGAGAAGGAGAAGGCCCTCTCGGAGGGCGGCGGGGCTTCTCAGAAGCGCTCGCGCCTTCTGAGGAGTTTCTGCGTCTTCGGGGGAGGCTTGGGCAACTTCTCAGAAGGCCCAGAGGCTTCCGAGCCTTCCGAGAAGGCCCGCCCCTTCTCACTCCCCCCCCCAGGCTCGCCGCCGAGGTGCGGCCCGGCGTCTGTCGCCACGGGGGAAGCGGATTTCTCGGACCTGCGCTGGGTCCCCCGGCGGCGCCTCCGGCGCCGCCCCTGGCGCGCTCCGCGCGCCAGCGAGGGGGTCCAGCGCAGATCCAAGAAATCCGCGAGGAGAGCCAAAAGTTTGTGGTTTGTGTAGGAGTATTTTATTATTATTATTATTATTAGTAGTAGTATTAGTATTATTATTATTATTATTATTATTATTACTATTATTATTATTAATGTTATTATTATTATTAGTTATGTTATTATTGATATTATTATGAATATTACTACTATTACTATTATTATTAGTAGTAGTATGAGTGTTGTTGTTGTTGTTGTTGCTGTTGTTGTTGTTGCTGTTGTTGTTGCTGTTGTTGTTGTTGCTGTTGTTGTTGTTGTTGGTGTTGTTGTTGTTGTTTTTGCCATTGTTATTGTTAGTGTTCTTGTTATTGTTCGTGTTGTTGTTGTTGCTATTAGTAGTGTTACTATTAGTAATATTATTAGTAGTATTATTAGTATATTATTAGTATCATCATTATCAGTATTATTATTAGTATTATTATTGTTTGTCTTCTTCTTCTTCCACCAACGTTTGTCGCCTTGGGGGAAGCGGGTCCTGAGATTCTTCTGCCCTCGGGGCCCCCCACGGGCCCCCAGGGGACCGTCCGAGGAGCGGCTGGGGGCGCGGCGCTCGTCCCAGGGGGGGGGGGAACCCCGGGTCCAGAGGGCCCGTGTCCCACGGAGCGCCCGCGTCCCTCGTGCTCGGGATCCCCGCAGAGGGGTCGGTGGGCCCCGGGGGGGACGATCGCTCTGGCCGCATACGAGGAGGAGGAGGAGGAGGAGGAGGAGGAGGAGGAGGAGGAGGAGGAGGAGGGGGAGGGGGAGGAGGGCAAGCTAGGTGCGCTCGCGTCATATCTGACGTCCTACCCCTCCCTCCCATCCCTTACCATTGCGCTGACTTCCTCTATCCGCGGACGCGTGTCGTAGCGGACCTGTGGCTCCGCGCGCGCGTGCGTAGTGGGTGGTGGTGCACGTGCGTGCGTGCGTGCGTGTGTGCGTGATTGTCGTGGTGGTGGTGGTGGTGGTGGTGGTGGTGGTGGTGGTGGTGGTGGTGGTGGTGGTGGTGGTGGTGGTGGTGGTGGTGGTGGTGGTGGTGGTGGTGGTGGTGGTGGGTGGTGGTGGTGGTGGTGGTGGTGGTGGTGGTGGTGGTGGTGGTGGTGGTGGTGGTGGTGGTGGTGGTGGTGGTGGTGGTGGTGGTGGTGGTGGTGGTGGTGGTGGCGGTGCGGCGCGGTGGTGGCGGGCGGATGGGCGCGCGAGAAAAGGCCCGCGCTGGGGCGAGAACGCCATCCTGAACGACGGAGGCCAAACACCGATCCGAAAATGAGGCCCACGCTGCAGCGGGAGCACGATTCGGAACGATTCGGGAGCAGAAAGGAGGCCGGCGCCTCAACGAGAGCAGCATTTTGGGAAAAAATGACGCCGGCGCCTCAGCGAGAGTCGTTTCCCGGGATTTCCAGGGAATCCTGTGTGTTAAAAAACAGTACGCGGAGGGTGCGCGGCCATCACCCGGACGCCATCAGGGGAAGAGGGAGAGTATTTTCATATTGAGTAATTGTCGAGGACGGGGAGGAGGAGGCGGCGACGGAGCAGCACGAAGAGGCCGCGGGAGAAGCCCGACACGGGCAGCCGCACGGGCAGCCGCCCCGGACGGCCGACCAGGGGCCCTTTTTTCCCGAGGGCCGAAGGAAGGCCCGCCGGCGAGGGGGGGTCGGTGGGCCCCGGGGGGGATCGTTTCCTCATGCGTGGTTTTGCCGATCGGCGCGGGCCCTCGTACCCCCCACCGCTGCCCCCCCCCCGCTCCCCCCCCCGGAGTGGAGATCTCGGCTGCTTTTGGCTCCTGCTTCAGGCAGGCGGAGTCTCCCCCACAGGACGCACTGCTCAAAGCAATCGCGCGCGCTAAGCAGAGGTCCGGAGCCAGACCCCCCCCCCCCCCGCGGCCCTGGCACACGTCCACCTTTGGGACGAGTGGCCACCGGGGCCAGGCGTGTGAGGCGAGTCCGAGTCCGCCGCCGAAGGAACCGTCGAGCCCCGAGCCGTCTTCGGGCCCTCTGGGCCGGCTCAGCCTGCGGAAGAAAGAGCAGCAGCAGGAGGAGGAGGCGAAGGGGGAGGGAGGCGCAAGGCCCGCGCGGCTGCAGGGGCGGCCCGGCAGGGGCGGGGAGAGGAGAGGGGAGGGGCGGGGCGGACGGGGGCGTTGGCAGTCAGGTTGGAGGTGGTAGTGGTTGTGGTCGTGGCGCTGTCGTGCAGTCGTGGTCGTGGTGCTTGCTGGCGGTGGTCGCGGTGGTCGTCGTGCTGGCGCTGGTCGTGGTCGTGGCGCTGGTGGTCGCGGCGGTTGCCGTCCTTAGGGTCGTCGTCGTGGTGCTGGTAGTAGCGGTTGTGCTGGTGGTGGTTGTGGTCGCGGCCTTACTGGCCGATGGCGCTGAGCACCATCACGGCATTGCCGCGCTGGAGGTGGCGGGACAGCTGCCGCCACACTCTGGCGAGCACCTCGCCCCGCTCTGCCTCGCCGAGGTTCTGTCCGTAAGCCCGGATGAACTCTGCGGCTTCGTCTGACGGGCGGCCCAATGTCTCGAAGACGAGTGGGGCGAGGTCTCCCCCACTCGGGGGGTATCTGTCCCGCTTTTCCCGCACCATGGCCGCTGCGGCGGCGCCATCGTTGTTGCAGCGTGCTTGCCTGCGAGGGGCGTACTCAGAGTATTCGCAGGTGATGCTCCAATCAACGAAGACGGGCCGGCCCGTGCTGGGATCTGTCGTGGCGAGATCTAACTTGGTTGCTTCCAGCAGGCCTGTGCGCCAGTTGACGCGGTCCCACGCAGGGACAAGCTGCTCTTGTGGTCGCGGCGAAGCCTGTGAGGCTGGTGTGCAGCTTGGCATGCCAGTCCCGCATGCGGTCGTGGCGGGAGGTGCGGGACTGACCGACTCCACAGCATCTCGCGTGCCGCCCTCGCCGGTCCAGTGTGGCGCCGCAGATTGTGCCGTCCTGGCGGCGGTGCTGGCACACGGCGCCTTGCGGGCAGACATCACACCGGAGGCGCAGTTTCACAGGTGATGAAGTGCCTGTCGGGCATGTTGGGGTCACCTTCCTCGCTGGGCAGGACGAAACTGCCAGCTCCTGTCCCGCCAGCGCCGCGGAGTGCCAGGCGGTCGTCCTCCCCGAGCTCCCGGAGGAGTTTCGCTCTAGTGGCCGCAGAGCGCGCCTTGCCCCACGTGCCTTGCAACTTGGGCGTGGGCTCCTGGAAGCACCCCAACCTATCGAAGTCGCCGCTGGTGGCCCCCTGGGCCCGGAGGTCAGCGTCGGCTTCCATGAGCGCTTGGTGCGTCAGGGGGCATTGTGCCCGGAAGTCTTCCCAGCTCTGGAAACCGGCGGCGCGGGCCACTTCCTTCATGGTGAGAGCCCAGCTTGCCGCATACGCTGCGGAAGAGGTGGTCCGCGCGGAAGGCAAGGAGATACCGCCGTCTTTGAGGCGCATCGTGGCCTGCGCGCGCTGCTGCGGGTCGAGAGCGGCCCCGATGAGTTCTTCCAGACAGCCGAATATGATTTGATCGAACTGGTCCACCCAGGACAGGTCGCGGCTGGCTCGCAGGTGGTGCGTCACGGCGCCTTGGGCGCAGGTGCGGAGCAGCGCGAAGGTGGCCCCAGCTGAGAGGCCCGCTGCACATAACTCACAAAATCGGTAGCCGAACCTGACCGCTTTCGCCACTGCGGCGGCGCCGTCCGTGCCGGCGTGGACTCGGATCCGCTCCTCCTCCTGGTCCAGCCACGGCGCCGCGTTGCCCAGACACTTCAGGTGCGGCACCCGGAGCTCGCTGAGCGTGGGGGGAAGGGCCGCGTTGGCGTCCTTTGTCCAAGCTTGCGTTTTGTCCTGTTGAACCTGTAGTCCGTGCCGGAGAAGCGTCTCCGCGACGATCTGGTCAGCGGCCGCAGCGTGCTCTAGGGGAGTGAAAACCATCACGTCGTCCAAGTAGCTGAAGACCTTGCAAGCGGGCGAGAGCGTCTGCAGCGCGGCGTGGATCTCGTCCAGGGCGCCAGCGATGGCGATGGCGAACAAGGCAGGGGACAAGGGGCAACCCTGGTCGACTCCGCTCGTCGCCCGGACCCGAGCGGCGTCTTCGGTGTCGTTCCAGAACAGGTGCGTCGTGGTCCTGCCCAGCCAAGCGGCCGCCGTCGGGCCGAGGTCCGGTGCTCTCGCCGCCACGCTGTCCAGAACTTGCTGGCGGGCCACACTGTTGAAGGCGTTCTTCGCGTCGAAGGCCAGGATCACTCCTCGCGGGCTTGCCTCCGTGAGGGCAGCGATCGTCTTGTGGACTAATTCACAGCCTGCTTGCCGGCCAATGTCGAGACGCCGAACAGGAGAACGTTGACGTGTGAGTTCGATCGGCTTTTGCGCCGAACCGCCCCAAACAGATGCGCCCCAGCCGATGGCAGCTCCCGATAGTTGCCGATAGCGTAGGGCATGCGGGGGGCATCTGTTTGCGGCAGTTCGGTGCAGCCACGGCCAGTGAATTGATGGATCCTCGTCGTCAAGCGTCAGGCCAGGCCAGGCTCTTTCGAGAGGGCTGCCACAGACGGGCCAAGCCAGGCTCGGAGTGCTCGCGCGCTGCTCCGCACGGCTCGCGGGGAGGTCTGACGATGCCCCAGTTGCTCTTGAGATGGCTTTTTTTCCGGCCGCCAGGAAGGCGGCCCGAGATGGCCACCCGTCGGCCGCCATTGCGGCGTTCCGAGATGGCCGTCTTTCGGCCCACGACGCGGCGCCCGGAGATGCCCGTTTTTCGGCCTGCAGCGCGGCGGCAAGGGCATCGGAACGCCTCTGGGTCGCGGGCGGCGGGGGTCCACGCCGCGGTCGGGGGCGGCCGAGGGGCACCGCGGGGCCCAGCTGTGGGTCGGGCGTCTCCCCCTGCAGAGGAGGTCTTGTGCGAAAAATTTAAGATATTTCAAAAAATACACCCGGGAAGCAGTCCAAAAGATAGTCCCCAGATTATGGTTTTGCTGTTTCTGAATATTCCCCCTGGAGAGGGACAGGCCCGACGTAAGCCTAGCAGCAGGAGCTCCGGCAGGGCGCGGGCGAGGGGGGGAGAAGCGCCCGCGGGCGGCGAAGCAGCAGGCGCTCAGAGCAGGAAGCTCTTTGCGCGCGCGAGCAGGAGCACAGTCAAGAGAGGAAAGACCACCCAGACCCCCACCGGGATTAGCTGATTACATCAAGAAAAGCGCGATAAACACAAACTTTTGGCGTTCCGCGCGGTTTTTTTGGATCCGCGCTGGGCCCCCCTAGCTGGCGCGCGGAGCGCGCCAGAGGCGGCGCCGGAGGCGCCGCCGGGGGGGGGTCTCGGCGCAGGTCCAAGAAATCCGCGCGGAGCGCCAAAAATTTATGTTTATGACGTTGTTGGCATCCTCGAGTGATGAAGCGGGGGAGGAAACGGCCCTGGGCGTTTGCTAAAAAGCCCTGTCCTGTTCGATTCCTGCTGTGGGTGCGTTTCCTGGGCGGTTTCGCGTGTCGGGGTGGTTACCGTCGCGGCGGATTTTCTGCCCTCTGCACGGGTTCGGTATATGTCTTGGGCCCGTAGGTTCCCCCGACGGGCCGTCGGCCGATCCCGACGGCCACCGGGAAGGACGCGCGAGGGCGCGCTGGGAGGGGAACAACTGGAAAGTTCGCCATGAGCCTGGCCCAAGCTCCGGCTCCCCCGGCGGCTTGCACGCCCCGCGCCGGCCGCCGGCGGCGATGCTCACCCTGCTCTGCACGAATTCGAGCTTCGCAAGCCACCACGGCCCACGCCACCTCCGCGCCCGCCTGGCCGGACGGGCGCGCCGGGCCCCGCGGCGCCGCATCGGCCCCCAAGATGGCCCCCAAGATGGCCGAGGTGGTAACGGAGACGGCTACGATGGGCCCAAACCGGTCCCAAGACCTCCTTAAAACGGCCAAAGGTGGTCCCAAGACGGCCCAAGATGCCCCATAAGGCCCAGGAGGCCCCAGCGGATGCTGACGGCGTCCAAGAAAATGAGTAAGATCCTGATCCAGGGAGCGGGGACACCAGACATCGGAGAACAAGCGACAAAATAACGTCACAGAGGAGGTGGAGGAGGGAGGGGGGAACTGGAGGTGGGAGGGAGGAGGAGGAGGAGGAGGAGGAAGAAGTGGAAGGATGACGAAAGGCGCAATGGACGAAAGGCGCAATGGAGGAACAGCATGAGAGGGCGAGGAGTGGGAGTAGGAATGAGGAGGGGAGAGGGAGGAAGGAGACGGGAGGAGGAAATGAGGCGAGACCAGGGAGTGGGAGCACGAAAAACATGACGGAGGAGATTCAGGAGGAGGGAGAGAGACAATTGAGATTGGACGAGGGAATAGGTGAGAATGCTCCCAAGCGGCCAACAGCACTGATGCCCCCCCCGACTCGGGCAGCACAGCCGGCCAGGCCAAAGGCGAGCGCTGTGCCGGCCTGTCCTCACAGTCGCTGGTTTGGCTGTACCGGCCTGACTTGACGTGGAATTTGTTTCGACATGGTGTGGCCTCATACGGTCGGACCGAGGAATAACATCGAGGCGTCGAGGCCTTCAAGGACTCCCCCTGGTACAGCAAGGTGGTCCGCGTCACCGAGGAGGGGACCAACGAGGGCAGGCACGGCAAGGTCCAGGACGTCTGGCGAGTCTTGGAAACCGAGGACACCTACCGTCTCGAGGTGGAGAATGTTTTCCGTGATTGGTGAATGTTCTCGTGCATGTTGGGAGAGGGCGCCCTCGAGTGTTCTGCAGGTTGGCCAGCGGAGGGCTTCAAGTTCTTGAAGGGTGTTTTTCTGTCCTAAGTTCAGCCGCGCCCGTTTTTCCCGACAGGGGTTGCGCTTGAGGTGGTCTCCCGATGGACAGCCTCCCCCCCGAGGCCCTCCCCCTCCGCAGCAGGGAGCGCGGGCGGCGCCACCTCCTCCTGCGCGGCGCCGAGACGCGCCGCCGGCATGGCGGCAGGGGGGGCCGCCCCTCCTCGGGCGGATCCCCATTCGGAGTTCGAGACGGCCTCGCTTCCCTTTTCGTTGGCGGCTCGCACCATCGTCCGAGCTGGCTAAAGCTGAACGGGCGAAGAACGGCGGCTGGAAAGTTTATACCCCTACGGTGCCACCGTACGGGTATACACTTTCCAGCCGCCCAGGGGCAGATGTCCCCGACGGCGAAAAAGTTTATGTTATACCGTTCTTCGCCCGTTAAACAGCGCTCCGTCCCCGCAGCGTCCGCACGGGTGACGCGAGGGCGAGCGAGCAGGCAGAGGCACCTCGCCGTCCACGCTCGTGCGCCGCGCGGCGGCTCCACCAACGCTGCGGACCGCCTCCGCCCGCGGGGCCGCCTCGCGCCCGGCGGGCCTCACGTCCCGCCACGGGGGACAGGGCGCGGAGCCGTGCTCCTCCTCCTCCTCCTCGATCCTCCTCCTCCGCCTCCTCCTCCTCCTCCTCCTCCTCCTCGATCCCCCTTCTCCTCCTCGATCCTCCTCCTCCCCCTCCTCCTCGATCCTCCTCCTCGATCCTCCTCCTCCTCCTCCTCCTCCTCCTCCTCCTCCTCCTCCTCTTCATCCTCCTCCTCCTCCTCCTCTTCTCGAACAGAGTTCTATCACATGTCTACTAGTTCGAGGGGCTGCTGCCAATGCCCCTTTTTTTTCTGCAGAGGCAGCAGGGGGAGTCCGACGCACCCGTTCCCTATCCACGTTGACGGCGCCCACCTCCACAGACAGCTCGAGAGCTCTGGCCGCTCTCCGTTTGATCAGGGCCACCGTCGCGGCCCAACTGTCAGCACAATATGCCTCCTTTACCAACCCCACCTCCCACGCCCTCTCAGCCGTTTCCCCGTTCCCTCATCGGCCTGATTGTTGCCAGCGGCCAGACAAACATTTTTAGGAATGCGCAGCCTGCCGACGTCCTCAGCGCGGGAGGAGAGCCATTTGACTTCACTGTCGGCACCACCTCTCGCCGCAAACGCCTCCCTCACACGATGCCACAGGTCCTGATGGCGCCCCCGGGCGATCCCCAGGCTTGCGGTGGCCCTTGATTGTTGCTGGAATCGTACAGCACGGTTTCTGTGACCTTTGGGACGCGCTGGAGCTTACGCCGTGCGTGTTGGAGGGGGGGCTGGGGATTGGGTCCCTGGAGTCCCGGGCGGCCGGAACATGCACTTGCGCATCTCACCCCCGACAATTCCGATGAGGGGCAGCCCCGACGCCCGCCCACCTTCAGCTTTGGGACGGGTGGGCACCAGGGCTGGGCGCGTGAGGATGGCTGGGAGGCGGACGCGGCGGTGAGTCAGCAAGGAAGACGGAGACGGTGGGGAGGAGTAGCAGAAGGGGCCCTTTTCATCTTAGTACCCTTCCGTTCCCCACCCGTGCCTCCTACGACTCCTCCTCCTCCTCCTCCTCCTCCTCCTCCTCCTCCTCCTCCTCCTCCTCCTCCTCTTGCTCCTCCTCCTCGATTCCTCCTCCTCCTCCTTCTCCTCCCGACTCTCCTCCTCCTCCTGCTCCTCCTCTTCCTCTTCCTCCAACTCTCCCCCCCCCCCTGTTCCTGCAAAGCCGCGGCAGGGGCTCCTGGGCATAGCCAACGTCGGCGACTCGTCGCTGGTGGTGCTGCGCTCCGAGAGCGTGGGGTCGCTGCTCCGGTGGAGGGTGACAGCGCACACCAAGGCTCGCCCTTTGCATCAGAAGCATGCGGGCGGGAGGAAGAGGAGGATACGAGCCGGAGACAAGGAGGAGGAGGAGGAGGAGGAGGAGGAGGAGGAGGAGGAGGGGGAGACGAGGAGGAGAAGGAGGAGGAGGAGGAGACGAGGAGGAGGAGACGAGGAGGAGGAGGAGGAGGAGGAGACGAGGAGACGAGGAGGAGGAGGAGGAGACGAGGAGGAGGAGGAGGAGGAGGAGGAGGAGGAGGAGGAGACGAGGAGGATGGTAGGCAAACGTTTCCATGAGTACTCCAGGTTGTTCAATGAGCGTAGAGTGGGATCTCATGGGAGTGTAGTCTTAAGCTGTCCTTCGCGATGCGGTGGGGGGGTGGATCGCTTGTCGGGGTGGGCTCGGTGTGGTTTAGGGGGGAGCAGAACGGGCCGTTTGGCTGGATGGCGTGGGGGCGGTGCTTATTCGACAACCTGGACTAGCTTGTTGTATCCATCGTCCCAGTCAGGGGCGGACCCATTCTGGCGAGAGTTCGGATCCGGCGATCCTACTGGAGACGGGGCGAGGAGGAATCTAGCAGAGGATCAGGCGATCACAAACATGGATCAAGGGGGCGTGGATTGACGACGGGTCCCAGTTCCATGGGAAATCACTGATTTCTGCCGCCGAACGAGGCGGCACCGACCGCATTTTGGGGAGGGTACCTCCCCCGATCCATGGATTTGGCGACGCGCGCAAATTCCACTGATCGCTAATCCATGTTTGCGTGCCCCCGAGAGGAGATGGGGAGGAGAAGAAGAGGAAGGAGGAAGAGGAGGGAGAGCAGGTGCACGCGGATGAGAAAGATGGAGTTGGAGGAGGAGGAGGAGGAGGAGGAGGAGGGGAGAGGAGAGAAGGGGAGGGGGGGAGGGGAGGAGGAGGAGGAGGAGGAGGAGGAGGAGGAGGGACGAGGACGAGGAGGAGGCTGGAGGAGGGAGGACGAGGACGAGTGAGATGAGTCCGGGAGAGGAGGAGGGAGAGGAGGAGGAGGAGGAGGAGGAAGAGGGGGAGGAGGAGTGAAAGCAGCAGCAGCCGCAGTAGGAGGAACTGGAGCGCGAACGGGAAGTGATGACGAGGAGGAGGACGAGGACGACGACGAGGACGACGAGGACGAGAACGTGCACGCAGTAGTGGAGAGTGGAGGGAGGAGGAGGAGGAGGAGAAGTGAGGAAGGAGGGAGGGAGGCGGGAGGAGGAGCAGAGCAGGAGGCAGGAGCAGGAGGAGGTATAGCGGAGGAGGAGGAGTGAGGACGGAGATGGAGGAGGGAGGCGGAGGAGGAAGAAGAGGAGGCGGAGGAGGACGAGGGAGGAGGAGGCTGGAGGAGGAGGAGGAGAAGGAAGAAGAGGAGGAGGAGGAGGAGGAGGAGGAGGTGAATATGAGGAGGAGGAGTGAGGGAGGAGGGGAGGAGGAGGAGGAGAGGAGGGGGAGAGAAGAGGAGGATCGGAGGAGGGGAGGATCGAGGAGGAGGAGGAGGGGCAGAGAAGAGGAGGAGAGTCAGGGGAGGAGCAGGAGGAGAAGGAGGAGGAGGCAGGAGGAGGAGGAGGATGCAGGAGGAGAAGGAGGAGAGTGGGGAGACGAGGAGGAGGAGGAGGAGGGAGAAGGAGGAGGGGGATGAGATAGGAGATGAAGGGAAGGAGGAGGTGAAGGAGATGAGGGCGAGGAGGAGGAGGAGGAGGACGGGGACGGGAGGAGGCTAGAGGCTGAGGGGGGGAGGAGGGAGGAGGATGAGGTAGGAGGAGGGATGGAGGAGGGGAGGCGGAGCAGGAGGAGGAGAGGACGAGCAGGAGGAGGAGGAGGAGGTGGAAAAAAGGAGGAGGAGGAGAGGGAGGAGGAGGAGGAGGAGGATGAGGAGGTGGAGGAGGGGAGGAGGAGGAGGAGGAGGACGAGGAGGAGGAGGAGGAAGAGGAGGGGAGGAGGAGGGAGAAACAAGAGGGGAGGAGGAGGGAGGTGGAGGCGGAGGAGGAGGAGGAGGAGAAAGAGGTGAGGAGGAGGAGGGAGGGGGAGGAGGAGGAGGAGGAGGAGGAGGAGGAGGAGGGGGAAGGAGGAGGAGGAGGACGAGGACGAGGAGGAGGCTGGAGGAGGGGGAGGACGAGGACGAGGAGAAGGAGGAGGAGGAGGAGGAGGAGGAGGAGGATGAGGAGGAGAGTGGGGAGGGGGAGGAGGAGGAGGAGGAGGACGAGGAGGAGGAGGCGGAGAAGGAGGAGGAGGACCAGTGTAAACCCAAGAGTCATCAACGATGTTGGAATCAGCCCCCCCTTAAAGCTCCCTGTTCAGAGGCCCCCACAACGGTTCTTGTCCGTGGAGGGAACTGCCTCGTTGGAAGACAACCGCTTGAAGTTCCTGAAGCATGGCAAAACATTGTTCTCGGGAGTTCAACGCCACGTATCTACCTGACTGCTGCGTCTTGACGATCTGGAATCGTGCCAGAGCGCCATTTTGGGGATTTCAACACCGCGAAGCAACATAACTGCTGCACCCGCATAATCCTGAATCCTTCCAAAATACCAAATCTGGTACGCTGATCAGGGGAATCCGTGAAGCCCCCTGCAAATGTGTAAAACGAATGTGCGCGGCGCTAAGGCGATAGCCACGTTTTGAAAAGGAACCGCTCTCAACCCGTGAAATTCTTGCACATGTTTAAAACGAATGTGCGCGGCGCTACGGCGAGAGCCACATTTTGAAAACGGCCCGCTCTCAATCAGTGAAACCCTTGCAAATGTTTAAAACGAATTTGCGTTGCGATGAGGCGAGAGCCACATTTTGAAAAGGAACCCGCCCTGAATCCGTGAAGCTCTTGCAAATGTTTGAAACGAATGTGCGCGGCGCTAAGGCGAGAGCCACATTTTGAAAACGGCCCGCCCTCAATCCGTGAAGCTCATGCATCTTCTTTAACCGAATGTGCGTGGCGCTAAGGCGAGAGCCACATTTTGAAAAAGGAACCCGCCCTCAATCTGTGAAACTCTTTCAAACTTCTAAATCGCATGTGCGTGGCGCTGAGGCGAGAGCGACATGTTGAAAACGGCCCACCCTCCATCTGTGAAAGTGTTGTCACTTGTTAAGCTTCAGAGCCATAACTGGTAAGGAAGTGTCAGGCGGAACGCCCGACCCGCCCTAAAAACTGACTTCGGGGTGCGACAAGGAGGAGTTGTCTGTAAGGATAAGGAATGGAGGAGGAAGGCGGAGGACGAGCAGGAGGAGGAGGAGGAGGAGGAGGAAGAGGAGGAACAGGAGGAGGAGGACGAGGAGGAGAAGGAGGAGGAGGAAGAGGCGGAGGAGGCGGAGGAGGAGGAGGAGAGTGGGGAGAGTGGGGAGAGTGGGGAGAGTGGGGAGAGTGGGGAGAGTGAGCGGGGAGAGTGGGGAGAGCGGGGAGAGGGGGGAGAGTGAGGAGAGTGGGGATGCGGAGGAGGTTGTGGAGGAGGAGGAGGAGGAAGAGACTGAGGAGGATGAGGTTCGAGGAGGAGACTTTGAGGAGGAGGAGGAGGAGGAGGGAGAAACAGGAGGAGGAGGATCGAGGAGGAGGGGAGGCGGAGAGGAGAATGCGAAGGAGGATGATTTGAGGAGGAGGATTAGGAGAAGGAGGAGGAGGGGAGAGAGGAAGACGGAAGAGAGGAGGCGAGAAAGCAGAGAGGAGGAGGAGGAGGAGGAGGAGGAGGAGGAGGAGGAGGAGTGAGGAGGAGGAGGGGATTTGAGGAGGAGGAGGAGGAGGAGACGAGGAGACGGAGGTGGGGGGGAGGTGGAGGAGGGGAGGAGGAGGAGGAGGAGGAGGAGAGGAGTTGGAGGAGAAGGATGCGGAGGAGAGTGGGGGAGGGGAGAGGAGGGGAGGAGGAGGAGGAGGAGGAGGCGGAGGAAGAGGGCTGGGAGAAGGAGGAGGAGGAGAAGGAGGAGGAGGAGGACGACGAGGCGGATGGGGAGGAGTGAGGAGAGGACGAGGATGAGAGGAGGAAGAGGAGGAGGAAGAGGGAAAAAAGAAGAGGTGTAGGAGGGTAGGAGGCGGATGAGGAGGGGAGGAGGGGGGGAGGAGGGGGAGGAGGAGAGGGAGTACGAGGAGAGGGAGGAGGAGGAGGTGGAGGGGGGAGGAGGAGGAGGAGGAGGAGGAGAGGAGGAGGAGGAGGAGGAGGAGGAGGAGGAGGAGGGAGGAGGAGGAGGTCGAGGAGGATGAGGAGTGAGAGAGGAGGAGGCGGGGAGTGGAGGAGGGGGAGGAGGGAGGCGGAGGAGGAGGAGGAGGAGGAGGAGGAGGACGACGACGACGACGACGGCGACGACGACCTAATCCGCCTCCTGGCTCCTCCACCTCCTGCGAGCTCGCGGGGCATGCGCCGAGGAGCAGCAGCACGCGTTCAATTGCCCGTTCCAGCTCTCGTGCATGCCCACGCAGGAGGACTGATGATGACTATGACGATGACGATGACGACGACGTCGTCATTGTCGTCTTCATCGTCATCCTGGGGATCCAGCCGCATGAGTCGAGGCAGCTCCAGATCCCAACGTTGCGGCAGAAGACCATAGACAGCCTCAAGCGTGGGTGAGAGAGAAGGGTATAGACGGAGACACCTGCATGCCCACGCAGGAGGACCCCTGAAGGGGGTGATGACTCGTCTCCAATCGACCTGTGGGGATCAATCCGCCTGAATCGAGGCAGACCCAGATCCCACCTCTGCGGCAGAGGACCCTAAACGGCCTCAAGCGTGGGCCAGAGAGAAGGGTAGAGACGGAGGGACCTGGCGCGGCCACAGCAGATGGTCCCACAGTATAGTACAAGATTTGGACATTTCAGACGTATAGACTTTATACCAAAACACATGATGCAACGAACACGATTGCTAAGTTACATGGCTAAGTATCAAACCATGCTAATACTTGTGGTGTCACGAGTTCGATTGTGAACATGAACATCAAGACTAAGACTAGAGTAGTACGTATACTCACAGGGTTGAGTCCGACTGCAAGTTCGATTGCTACTGATACGAGTCGGAAAGTGCCTACGAATGCGATGATTGATACTAATGTTGGTGCTGCTGCTCATGGTCCTAGTACGATTCAGACTAACAGTACTGTTCGTACGAATGCTGACGCTAACGCCAGCACTACCACTATTACTCATACAGGGGGGCGCGCATCAAGAAGCCACGTGCTTTTCGTCGGGGTATCCTGGGTTTCTTCGCTCCGCCCGCTGCGCGGTGACTTCCCGCAGCCGTTAAAGAAGCTACTGCGTTCAGGGCGCTCCTGGATTCCCCTCAGGCGCACCTCGCGCGCGGGTTTTCAGGGTTGGGTTTCTTGCGAGGGTTTCTGGCGGCCGCGCCCTCACTGTATGCGTCCCAATAGTCATGCCACATGCAAGCGATAGCTCTGCGATGGGAGACCACGGAAACCATGGGAGGCCACGGGAGAGCGCCCGACCGATCCCAGACACGGCGTTCTCCGTATCCGGCTTCTTGGAAAAAGTATACACACATAAGACCCTTACAGACAAGCGATTCGGGGAATCGACCGAGTAGGGGGCCACATGCGAACCCTACCCCTACCCCCCACGATTTCTGAGGGGGAGGGTGGGGTTCACTTCGCTCTGGAGCTCCCGAACGGAGTGAACCCCACCCCCCCAGAAATCGTGGGGGGCTGGGGTAGGGTTCGCATGTGGCCCCCTACCGAGGCATATCGATATTCAGGTCAAGGAAGACGCAGAGGTGTCCAGTCAAGTCTTGAATCAGAACGCGGAAGCTCGGGCGCGAGTCGAGGGTCGTCAGAAGTCGTCCAGCCCTCAGCGGCAGGATTTCCCAAAGCTCATGGCTGAGGGCAAGCATGCTCTCGTGCGGGCGATCCAGCGGAACCCGAACGCCCAGATGGACCTCCCCACGGACGCCGACCGCTACACGTTCCAGGTCCAGGAGGGCGACCTGATCGTCCTGGGCACGGACGGCGTGTTCGACAACCTGCACTTGGATGAGATCTGCGAGCTGGCGAGCCGCTCGGTCACGCCCTTTGAGGCAGTCGAAGAAGAACCAAGATCACAAACACGACCTCTCCGAGGCCCGCGCAGATTGCCTGGGTCGGCGCTGGACCCCCCCCGGGTGGCGGGGCCGGCGCCGCCCCTGGCGCGCTCCGCCGGGGAGTGGGGCCCAGCGCACATCCAAGAGATCCGCGCGGGGCTGCGAAGGTCAAGGCATGTCTTAGGGGGCCACGTGCGAACCCTACGCTACCCCTACCCCCCACGATTTCTGAGGGGGAGGGGTATAGGGTTCGCACGCGGCCCCCAATGTCTGTGCTGCTTTTGCTGTTCCTCCAGGCGCGCCAGGGCTTCGACGTCCGGTCCTGCGAGCTGGAGGCGGCCCGCGGCAGGCCGTGCACGGACCCGGGGCGGATCGCCAGGGCGCTCGCGGAGGCCGCGCTGATACGGTCCCGCGACACGCGCTTGAAGTCTCCGTTCAGCCTGCATGCGCAGAAGGCTGGGTTGTACCACGTCGGGGGCAAGATGGACGACATCACTTGTGTGTGCGCGTGGGTAGCAAGGACCACCTCGTCATGAGGCTGGGCCGCGTGCGACGCTGCCTGCCCCAGCTGGCCTGGGCGGCCGGTCTGGGCCGATGAAGCCGAACCCATCCATGAGCAGAGTAGTTCGGGAAGAGGGGGTCGGCATTCTAAGATGCCACCTTCGTTTAACGTGTCGGGGGCATGTCTACATGTTTGTACAACTGTACGACCACCCTTCTGCTGATAAGGAGATTGCGAGGGGGATGGGTGCAGCATTCGGTTTGCGATTGGCGTCGGGTCAGAATCACGATCTATCTAGATAGCGCTCTTGATAGTTACCATTGGCACCAAGACCCTAAACAGCTTTCCACGCGGCCTAGCAGTCCACCTCCTGGCTTTATTACGACTACGACTACAACGACGACGACTACGATTAGTATTACGAGGACTACTACTACTACTACTACTACTACTACTACTACTACTACTACTACTACTACTACTACTACTACTACTACTACTACTACTACTACTACTACTACTACTACTACTACTACTACTACTACTACTCGTCTGTTAAGAAACTCACTTTTTTGAGCTGGGTCTCAGAATTTCTTAAAATAAAATAGGAAATTCAAAAAAGCTGGGACCGATTTCTTAAGCTGGGACCGATTCCTTAAGTGCTGGAGAGGGGTTGTGCTGGGGGGCAGCACAACCCCTCAGCACAACCCCCCAGCACAACCCCCCAGCACAACCCCTCAGCACAACCCCTCAGCACAACCTCCCAGCACCACCCCTCAGCACAACCCCTCAGCACAACCCCTCAGAAACCCTCAGACACAAACCCACAGCACACCCCTCCGCACAACCCTCAGCCTACCCCTAGACAACCTCAGCACAACCCCCCAGCACAACCCTTCAGCACAACCCCCCAGCACAACCCCTCAGCACAACCCCTCAGCACAACCCCCCAGCACAACCCCTCAGGACAAACCCCCAGCACAACCCCTCAGCACAACCCCGCGGCACAACCCCTCAGCACAACCCTCCGGCACAAACCCCTCAGCACAACCCCCCAGCACAACACCTCAGCACAACCCCTCAGCACAACCCCTCAGCACAACCCCCCAGCACAACCCCTCAGCACAACCCCTCGGCACGACCCCCAGCACAAACCCTCATCACAACCCCTCAGCACAACCCCCGAGCACAACCCCTCAGCACAACCCCTCAGCACAACCACCCCAGCACAACCGATCAGCACAACCCCTCAGCACAACCCCTCAGCACAGCCCCCAGCACAACACCTCATCACAACCCCTCCGCAAACTCCGCACAACCCCCCGCACAACCCCTCAGCACAATCCCCCAGCACAACCCTCAGCACCCCCCCACAGCACAACCTTCAGCACGACCCCGGCACCAACCCTCAGCACAAACCCCTCCGCACAACCCTCCGACAACCCTGCACACCTCCAGCACACCCTTCAGCACAACCTCAGCACAACCCTCAGCACAACCCCGCAGCACACCTCCAGCACAGATCCCAGCACAACCCCGCAGCACAACCACTCAGCACAACCCCCCAGCCCCACCCCTCAGCACAACCCGTCAGCACTACCCTCCAGCACAACCTCTCAGCATAACCCCTCAGCACAACACCTCAGCACAACCCCCCAGCACCACCCCCCAGCCCAACCCCTCAGCACAACCCCTCAGCACAACCCCACAGCACAACCCCACAGCACAACCCCCCAGCACAACCCCTCAGCACAACCGGTCGGCGTTTTTTAATACCTATTTTTAATATTCGGTGGAAGTCCTGCCCCCCCCCCTCCCCCCCCCTGGCGCGACTGACTGGCGTATCTGGTATCTGCGTATCTCCGTATCTGCCACTGTGGTCGGCGCGCGAGCGGCCCGCCCCCCCCCCCCATGGCGCCTGTCGGGAAATCTCGGGTATCTCGCTGGTGGTTGTGCTGGTGGCGGTTGTGCTGCTGGTGGTTGTGCTGGTGGTTGCGCCGGTGGTAGTGCTGGTCGTCGTGCTGGTGGTTATGCTGGTGGCGGTTGTGCTGCTGGTGGTTGTGCCGGTGGTTGTGCTGGTGGTTGTGCTGGTGGTTGTGCCGGTGGCTGTGCTGGTGGTTGTGCTGGTGGTTGTGCGGGCGATTGTGCTGCTGGCGGGTGCGCTGGTGGTTGTGATGGTGGTTGTGCTGCTGCTGGTGGTTATGAGGGTGGTTGTGCTGGTCGTGTTTTGCTGGTGGTTGTGCTGGAGGTTGAGCTGGAGGTAGTGCTGGAGGTTGTGCGGGAGGTTGTGGTGGAGGTTGTGGTGGAGGTGGTGCTTGAGGTTGCGCTGGAGGTTGTTCTGGAGGTTGTGCGGGAGGTTGTGCGGGAGGTTGTGCAGGAGGTTGTGCTGGAGGTTGTGATGGAGGTTGTGCTCGCGGTCGTGCTGGAGGTTGTGTTGGAGGTTGTGCTGGCGGTTGTGCTGGAGGTTGTGCTGGAGGTGGTGCTGGAAGTGGTGCTGGAGGTTGTGCTGGAGGTCGTGCTGGAGGTTGTGCTGGAGGTTGTGCTGGAGGTTGTGCTGGAGGTTGTGCTGGAGGTTGTGCTGGAGGTTGTGCTGGAGGTTGTGCTGGAGGTCGTGCTGGAGGTTGTGCCGGTGGTCGTGCGGGAGGTTGTGCTGGAGGTTGTGCTGGAGGTGGTTGTGTTGGAGGTTGTGCTGGAGGTTGTCCAGGTCCAGGGGGCCGAAGGGGAAGAAGGGAAGATGGAAGAGGAAACTCTCTAAACCACCTACGCCCAGAGGGCTGGTGGGATTTAAGTCGGATCCGGTCGAGACACCTTTCGCTGAGTGAATACAATAACGGCGGGAGGGTGCTGCGGTGATAGAAGTTACTTCCGGCCGAGGGGCCCACTTCAGCCACACACCCCGGGACAGTGAATGACCGTTCGGACCCCCTCACGACCTCCAGCACTACCTCCAGCACAACCTCCAGCACAACCTCACAACCTCCAGCGCAACCTCCAGCACAATCTCCAGCACAACCTCCATCGCAACCACCAGCACAACCTCCAGCACAACCTCCAGCA